GAATTAATGAATTAATTAATTTAGAGGATTAGTTACTTAACTATTTCGGCCTATTTAGTGAGGCCATGACTGAAGAAGCCATAGATTTATTTATATATTATATACTATATACTATATATATATATACACACACACACACCATAATCTTTTTTTTTTTGCCCTCAGTCTCTCATAATTTGTGTTCTTATGGGATTGGGGGTTTTGAGTGGAGGTCTATCTTTTCAGATTTGGAAGCCCTGCAAATACAATTTTATCACTTCAAGCGCTCTTATTCTAGATCATTCATTGAGGGTATTTGAGAAGAGTGAGACTTGACGGTAGCGGTCTCCCCTCCTTTTAATCCTTCTTACTGAACTGTAATGTTTATAAAGAGAAGCGCACATAACACAGGTGTACACAGCTCCGTAAATTTTCAAAACTCAACACAACCAGGTAGCCGAAACGCAGATCAAAGCATGCCGTTGCCAGCCGCCTAGAAGGCTCTCTCCTGTTCCTTCCCAGTCGCTAACCTTCCCCTTGCTAAGTCCAATAGCTCCTCTGAGTTATGTCAGCGTGGGGGAATGCCTGTTTTCATAGTTGATGTCAATGGAACGGTATTGTGTGTCCTCTTGTGTGTTTGACTTCTAATGGTGCCTCTTGATGGAAGAGAGACTGGCTTTTTCTTACTTAGCTCTCCCTGTCTTCAAACATTTACTTGGAACTGTGAAGAATAAGCTTCCTTTCTTTTATATTTTCTCACTTTTTCTGGCAAAAATCTTCTAATTTTCCTAATTTAACAGCATTAATTTCAGATATTGCTTCCCTCTGGGACACACTGACTTATGCAGCCATCGTAACTTCCACGTTAAACTCTGAGAACTGGGGCAGAGAGGGAAAGAGCTGTCTAACTTTTTGAAAACATGCTTTCCTTTCTCTCTCTATTCCTGACTGTGGGAGACTCTTTCTTCCTCTTTCTAGATCAATAAACATATATGTGTCTGAGCGTCTTCCTGGTGAGACTTGTCCTCTGGCCCCTGGTTGGTGGTTACATTTTGGGAACTGACGGGTGTTCTGTGTTCACTCTCGTCTCATCACTGCGGTAGTTCAGGTCTCAGGATTGTCCAATTCACAGAAGCCGTGGGAATCTGAGCTTTCTCTCTGCCATTTCCTCTCCTTTGTCCTACAAAGGAAAAGAAAAACGTCAGTCCTAACGGACACTATGAAAGAATAAATATAGCTTTTTAAGGAATGCAAATGGTGAATTATTTTGCATGACTTAAACAAAAAGGAGTTAAACTGGTGCATGAATCAAAATCTTTCACTATCTAAAGGGAATATCAAGAAGGCAACCGCGGGTGGAATTCTATCAAGGTCAGCCTTTATTTAGAAATACAAGAAGAGTCACCTTTGTGATGTAGTGTATCCTTCACCAAACCAAAGTCTTGCGTGCTGACACATAAAATTTTATCTTCAGTGATTTATTTCCTCCTAGTAATGTCCCTTTGACCCTTTAACCTTCCTATTAAATTCAGATAATCCTGAGGTGATCAGCATTTTCAGATAGTTCCTTCATTCTTTAGAAGTGTTTCTCATTACTAGAATTTAAAAACAAAAACACTTAAATTTGTGAATGTAGTATGAACATTCCACTGTGTTGCCACGGGATTATTTTACTGTGAGTTGTTTGATTGTTTATAGGGAAATTGCTTTATGATGCTCAGCCTGACATTTGCATACACTGGCCCCTCCTTGCATTTTCTTGAACTTTGATCAGCTTTCCAAAACCGGCTCCCCTTAGTCACATCACAGAACGAAACTGTCCAGCAATTGAAGAGAAGGTGGACAGTAATTTTTTTCTCCTTTTATGAAAATTGTGATTGGAAGTTGGCACATTGGCAGGTTTGGCATTCTTTGGGAAGACCCAACGTCGTTAAAACATAACTGTGTGCTGCTGTTTTAATAGCATTCAAATAGATAATTAGATTCGTGGACATCTAAATTTAATTCCAGAAATCAAAGCTATGGTAATAAGAGCTGGACCCCAGTTCTCTGAGGCCTAGTAATTTAATTCCTCTGCCAGCTGAAGTATTACATATCTCTGTTCCTTGTATTATGCCGGTAAATTGCTTAGGCAGATGCAATGATGGATGATGGGCATACATGTCACTCTTTTTCATGGCCAGACACATAACAGGATGCAGATCACTTTAAACACAGCTGTTTTGGTAAGCATGTTTTCTGTTTGCAGGTTTAAGTACAACATTCAAGTCATAACAGAGAGGGTTGAGGGAGGTTCCTGGGGGTACCCAGGATCGTGTTTCACCATCCCACCTGGAAGCACAGTGCTGTCTTAACCCTGGATCACATACTTGGACCCTGTCCCTCCATTCGTGCTCCAAGACAGCATGCACACTTCATGGTTTAAGGAGAATATTGGTTTGACTTGATTTTTCTCCCTGGATTTACCACTTAATTAGGAGAACTAAACAGTGTTGGTGCCTATGATTTGATTCAATGCAGAAGAGAGCTCAAACACAGTGAACTGACTAGTGACATGCATCAGTTATCTTTCTTCTCTAGTACTACAACATCAAGATTCTATAGAAGAATAAAGAGGAAGCATACCGGGTAAAGTTGGGGCCATCTGAGCACCTATTAAATTTAGGATTCTTTTGAAATGTTGCCTAAAGTAGTAGACTTTTGTGCGGGAATTCAGTCAGTCAAGAAGTCAGTGACTGCACGCCGTTTATGGCTAAGCACATGAAGCCTTATGCCATCTGATTGTCAATGCCAGTTTTCTCTTCCTCTTCTTACCTATTCATGGTCTTGTGGAAATGTTAAAATAACTGGTTAGGACCTTCTCTCTATTAACACTTCGTTTATTAACACACTAATAAGTTTGTATTAATGTTATTCTGCTTAATAAGTTTCTCCTTATTCTTTGGCCACGTGCTTCAACTTTTTTGGATGTGTTCATTTATTATCCCTTGTCTCATATTTAATCAGAATTAGAAAGTCATTCTTTCTGGGGTCATACATATTTTTATAGACGTTTTATATATAAAAGTCCTTTAAGTTCTGAGCTAAAGGGAATTCCATCTAGTGCTAGATTCATGTCTTTATATATCTTTTCCTTTTTCGCCCTCAGAAAAATTATTTGTGGCTGTCCTGGCAGAGTTTCAGTTTCTGAAAGCCTTTTACCATCTTCCTTCCTGTCTTGCTAGACCATGGAAACCTATTTTCTTTCCCTGATATGTTTGACATCTGATCTCCTATACAATGTTGAACTCACACTAGCATTCCAGGCCTCAGGTTGTGTCTGACACAAACTCTCCAGGTTTCTATGCCTGTTCCCAACAATGTGCTTTTCCTAATAGGCAAGAATCAGCCCTTGGGTAATAATTCTCCTCTGCTGTGTCTTTTTTCTGGGAAATTTAAATGTCAACATGGCAGCCTCAGTCTTACTCCTGTGGTGCTTCTTGTCCAATAAGGCCTGGGGCAGGTGCTCTGGTGATTTGAAATCCTCCACCGCATCTGGATCTTTCTTCTGTATTGGTTTTGTAATCTGATCAAAGATGTAACATTTATTTCTCCTATATGGCCACATGGCGTGTGATACACTTTCACTATTTAACGCTGACATTCTTATCTTCGTTTATCATCCTTCAGATGCTCTCGACCATGTCTGCGCTGGCAGGTACATGATTTGCACAAGGATATCTTACTGGGACTTTGTAATTTTGTTCCAGACATGCCTTTCTTTTGCCATCCAGATTTGCTGATTTATTACTCAGCCCTGTGCATAAGTATATACATATTTAATGTCATAAATATTATTTCTGATCCCCTTCCCAATTATACTGTGACTCACTGGCTATCTGTTACCATTATTCTCAGTATTGCATACTGTGTGGTTCTCAGAATGTTGTCCCCTGACCACCAGCATTGGCATCACCTGGGAACTTGTTAGAAATTCATATTCTCAGGGCCCATCCCAGACTCGCTGATTCAGAAACTCTGGGGGTGGTGCCTGGTGATCTGTGTTTTAATAAACCTTCCAGGTGATTCTGATACTCGCTGAAATTTGAGAACCACTGAAATACCAGATACTCTACAAAACTTACACAATTAGCAAGAGTAGAGAGCACAACCGTGTAATTTCATAGGCATCCCTGATTGCTGGGTATTGCAGACTTATTTAAGCCAATTTCTTCTCTCCACTCTATTTCCAGTTTAAACTTTCAGTAGCAATGTTTGAACCAGTTTCCACTTATTGTTATTGAGTATCTGCTATGCAGATACTGTGTGGTATTTTCACATACATTATAAGAAATCATCCCCATAATACAATAAACTCCATTTTGGTATCCTCCCCTCCCCACCTATTTAATAGATTTCGTTTTTTTTAGAGCAGTTTTCAGTTCACAGAAAATTTGAGTGGGAAGTACAGAGAACTCCCTTCTCCCCCATTTCTGTCCCCTCTCCCCCATTTCCTCTGTTGTTAACATTTTGCATTAGTCTGATACATTTGATCCAGTATTGATGTATTAGTATTAACTAAAGTTTATAGTTTAAGTTAGAGTTCACTTTTTGCGTTGATAGTTCTGTTGGCTTTGACGAATGCACGGTGCTGTGTATCCACCATTACAGTATCTTACAGAGTAATTTCACTGCCCTAAAAATCCACTGTACTCTGCCTTGTCATTCCGTCCTTCCTCACCCTGAACCCCTACCAACCATTGGGCTTTTTGTAGTCCCCATGATTTTACCTTTTCCAGGATGTCATATAGTTGGAATCATGGTATCCTCTTTTTGCAACTGCCTAAACTAGGAGGAGTTGTGCCCGAGGGTAAAAGGTGCTGGGATTCATATGTTGACCTGCTGGCTTCAAGCCTTGTGTGTGTGTTTAATTCAAGGCCATGTTCTCTCTTGAATTTACAAAATTCTTTGTCAGTAATTTTTTTTCCCTGTCCTAAAATTGTTTAAATGACCGTTACTGTTATTTCTATTTCCTGCTCCAGTGAAGACAAAGTAGTGGAAGTAGCAGAGGAGGAGGATGTGGCTGATGTGGAGGAAGAAGAAGCCGAGGATGACGAGGACGATGAGGACGGTGATGAGGTAGAGGAAGAGGCTGAGGAACCCTATGAGGAGGCCACAGAGAGAACCACCAGCATTGCCACGACCACAACCACCACCACAGAGTCTGTGGAAGAGGTGGTCCGAGGTAACCCACTGTTTGCTTTCTCAGGGAAAAGGAAGGCATCTTACCAGTATTTGGCATTTCTATCCAGCTTAGCACCACTGCCTTCCCCAAACAAAAGTAAAAATTCAAAATAACAAGTCTTCTCATGGTTGTTGAACTCTGCAGTTTAACAAACAATCCAACAATTCATTTCAAACCACGTGAAATCCTGATTATACAGTCTATTCTGTATCTTGTGTATGCTGCTGGCAAACCCCAGCTTGTTCTGCAAAACTCCACCAAACCAGTTACCATGTCACTGAACAAAGGCCAACTTAGGTGACCTCTTTAGTATCCCCGCCCCCTCACCCCCACCATGGGTGTTTCTTGCACTCCATCATCTCTTGCCTCTTTCACCACCTAGACTATGAATTCCTTGAGGCAAAGACTGGATTTTACTTAGTGTCATTCAGAGTGCCTGGCTTATACAAAGTTTTCAATAAATCTTAGTTGAGTGAGTAGTTGCAATTAGGTTTTATTAAAAAAGAAGAAGGATATTTGGTGAGTTAGCACATTATTTTTTGCCATGGACTTTAACTTGGATGACTTGTATCTTTATGTTATTTTCTTGGGGGAGGTGACAGTGCCTTCTTTGAGAGGTACATGTAGGGTTAGACTTAAGACTTTCTTTTTCTGTTTAATTAATTCCTCTGTTGAGAACGTTGTGAGCTGAAGGACTTTCTTTTAGTCTCCGTGAGATAAAAACGCAAGCATTCGGTTGACATTAAACAGCCAAATGTTATAGGAGCTAGCGAATTGTTGGGTTGCCTTTCTTAAAGGTATGCATTTGTTTTACAAATAGTAAAAGGTGGTCCTAGAATTAGATTGAATGAATGTGGATGGAGTTATTGAGTTTTTAAAGTCTATCCACAAATGTTACAACATTGTAAGTCTTCCTCTCACTTTTTATTAAGGTAGAATGATTTCAGCTCTGTGGTTAAATTGGAGCTTAAAATGGGTTACTTTCTCTGCCTCAAGTAGATTCCTAATGATCACGCTAGTATCTTCTTCCCTTCATTGCATTTTTTATAACTTTATTGAGGTATAATTTACATATAAAATTCACTTGTTTTAATCGAATAAATATATAATTCACTGGCTTTAATAAATACACCAAATTGCGCAACCACTACCATAAGCCAATCTTAGAGCATTTTCATCATGCCAGTAAGATCCCTTACACCCATTCACGGTTGATCCTTGTTTTCACCGCCAGCCCCAAGCAACAACTAATATACTTTATATTTCTACACATTTGCCTTTTCTGGACATTTAATATAAGTAAAATAATTGATCTTTTGTGTCTAGCTTTTTTCACTTAACATAGTGTTTTTGAGGTTTTGCATTTCTTTAACTTGAAGCTTTTAAAACTGACATTATTCTGAATTGAACACTCAGAGTTAGCTTAAAATCCATTGAAAGCATCATATATTCTTTTTGAAAAGAATATATAGTACAAGATGGATTGTTTACCTTTATCATTCCCTATTAATGACAGCTTATTCAATTTAGCGCAGTAGTGCTTATGTAAGTAGATACACATTTAAGTAAATGCTTGTTTTGGTTGAACCACTGTTTTTCAAATATCCGAGACATCCTTTCCCAGGTGTTTTTCCTGTGCTTCTTAGGACCATTTGTGGCAGATCTGGCTAAGCGAACTTGTTGACTTCCATATTCCTAGCAGAGAAAGACAGATTTTTCTGGAAACATAAAATATATGTGACTACAAATTACAGCAGTTAGTATTCTGTGGTGGGACTGATGTTCTTGTGATCTCCATCAAGATAGCTATTTACGTAATAATTAACATCCACTTATTCGACATTCGTTTTTGGAGAACCTGTTTGGTACAAGCCATTTTGCTAGACTCAGTGGACCATCTGATGAGAGCACAGAGGATAGCTGACCCTCATGGATGTTCAAATCAGGAGGAAGTCAAAGATACACAATGTGACTTGTGTTGTAAAGTACAAGCTCAGAGCCTACTTCACGGAGTAAGAGATTGAGCAGAGAAGGACCTATGGAAGAGATGGCATTTGAACTAGAAGTGAAGGGGCTAGTGGTGGGTCTGCCAATGGATTGTGCTACAGTGTACTTTAGAGTCATTCAGCATAGCAAAAGAAATTTGGTGCCATGGGAAGGTACATGGCATGTTTAGGAGATAAAATCAATCTGACTTAAACAAGAGCAAATAATCTTACTTAAGAGAGTTACAGGAAATTAGGTTGGGACTAAAATGTGGAAACCTTCAATGGCAGGCTGACAAGTATGACCATTAGCTGAGGGTAGTCAATTCAGGACCTACTGTGTGCTGAGGATTTTTCTGGTAGAAACAATGAAGAGATTTTGGTTTGATGATCTTGCGATTAAGGAGATGAGAAAACCGAGAGTGACGTAATTTAGGCAGTACAATGAGAGAATGTCACATAAACTCCATGCCCGTATTCCAGACCAAGACAGAATTCTCTTGAGATAATATGGTCTTGCTATGTTCTGAATAAGTCCAGTTCTTTCTGCTTCAGTCTTTTTCTAAGTGTAGCATTATTAGATACTAAGAATATAGAGGGTCATATATATTATAGTATTTTCTATAGAAAGACAAAGGCAATTAAAAGAGAATTTAAAAAAAAGATCTCCAGCATAGAGATAAAGAAAAGAAGCTAGTCTTAAAAGATGACAAGTTAATAATGTTGGTGGCAAGAAGAGCAATAAAAGTGAGCTTCTAAAAGCAAAATACCTGGTCATTTAGAGGGACCAACTAAAAATGCCAGAAATGGAAGAACCCTTAATGGGAACCCATCTATCCCATATAAGACTCTGGAAATGGACAAAAGCTATAATTGAGGCAAGTCTTTCTGGACAAAGAGGCATAAGAGAAGAAACATGATATATTGTGTCCACGTCAGAGAGTTTGCTGTGTTCTCGCTAATTCCAAGAAAGAAGTAGAAGTTTTAGATGGTAACATTAAAGGAGTGAGCTACATTCCCTCCACATCTCTGGTTGTAGAAGATGAGTTATGGTTCTTCTCTGATGAATGAAGAGCGATGGCAGTGCCAGAGGTGATTGCTAACTTTGTAAAACTCTCATTACAAGTAGCTGGCTCTTGTGCTGAAAATAAAAATGAGAAGAGACTTGCAAAGAAGAGATATTGAAAAGAGACTTATAATCTAGTTTTCAATGTTAATGTTTCAGTGCCTGAGAGAAAATGTAATTTACAACCATACTTAATAAGAAAATTGTTTCTTCATTACCAACATATTGCTACAAACACGAATCCTTAATGCACTTCATAAAAAACCTCAATACTTTTGTAGCCTGTTAAAATTTGAAAGTACTAGGCAGACGGAAGAAAAATATAGGACATTTCAGCATGGTCATAAAACTTTCAGCCAGGGGCTGGCCCCGTGGCCGAGTGGTTAAGTTCGCGCGCTCTGCTGCAGGCGGCCCAGTGTTTCGTTGGTTCGAACCCTGGGCGCGGACATGGCACTGCTCATCAGACCACGCTGAGGCAGCGTCCCACATGCCACAACTAGAAGAACCCACAACGAAGAATACACAACTATGTACCGGGGGGCTTTGGGGAGAAAAAGGAAAAAATAAAATCTTTAAAAAAAAAAAAGATTGGCACCTGAGCTAACAACTGTGGCCAATCTTTAAAAAAAAACTTTCAGCCATTTTGTTTTAGAATCAGTGGTATTAAAGTGGAAGATACCAGTTCTGTGTTACTGATTCCAGAGGAGAAAGGTATTATTTAAATGTGAGCACACTGCAACATCTATTTGGCTTTAAGATTTATTGTTTTGGGTAATTAAGAAAAACTTAGATATTGATCTAGAGGAATAAATCAATACCAATTTGAGTAAAACAATAGTATTTTAGACACTTGCTCCTAATTTTCTGTGATTTCAGAAGGGATTACACTTCATAAACCCAAGATATCAGGGTAATTTCTGACTCAACCATGAGTTCTTAAACTCTGATTAAACATGGGTATTTCAATAAATGACATAATCCTTGATTTAGTCTAGCCTGTTGGGTGCATCCAGAGTAATTCTGGATTTTTTCCTTATGCTCATTTCTTCAGGAAATATTCATTGTGCCCCTGCTAATTGCTAGGCGTTCTGCTGCTGTGGAAGGTGTAATAGGGAGTTAGCTGTTCCTGTGTTGGGCTGAAATCCTTGTGTTTTCAGGATCCCCACTTTCCTTGCTCTTTAGGGCGGTGGTTTTATCTTTAATCCTTGTAGCTTTGCTATGAGGTAGAAATTTTACTTCCCCATTTAAAGCCAAGGCAACTAAGATTAGAGAACTTTTTTTAATTGCCCACAATCACAAAGCTGGTAACTGGTGAGAATTTGGACCTGCTCGGACCAGGGTATTTCTATGACACTAATATCAAATTTTCCTTTTCCTTTTGTTGCTAAATACATGCTATTTCCATTTAACCTGTGCTCCCTTATAAATGTGCATTCCTTTGCTATAGGCATATATTGATCTTATTATTTCACAGTGAACATTTCCTCAATGTTAGAAGTCTTAATAATAATAATGATCAGGGATTGGCAGACTGGACCATGGGCCAAATATGGCCTGTCACCTGTTTTCTAATCAAAAAGTTTTATTGGGACACCGCCAATCCCATTTATTTACCTATTGTCTGTGGCTGCTCTCATGCTACGGAGGCAGAATTGCGTAGTTGCGAGAGACACCATATGGCCTGCAAAGCTGAAAATATTCACTATTTGGGCCTTTATAGAAAACCTTGGATATTGATCATTATAAAAATACTAGGAAGTTTTTTATATTTCAGATACTACCTACCATACGACATTAATTTCATTAATGTAGTTTTATTATGGTTAGAGGCAGACTAGTAAAGTGTTTGAGAGAATTTTTAATAATTTTATGTCCTTGGGCCAGTTAAATAATCTTGGTGAGTCTGTTTTTTCATGTGTGTAGTAAAGATGCTGATATGAAGTGTGTTC